ACAGAGCAAAATTATATATTATGCTGAAGTTTAATCTTTTATTTTGTTTAAAAAAGATATAAAAAATGTATGATAAAAATATTATAACGTGTTAAAAGTTTACATGTATTGAGAAATCTATTTAATATTTTAAAATATAAATTAATATTTCCAAAAAATATGAATATGTTTAGAAACATAATTATTATATTTACAAATAACTAAATAGCTAATAAGATAACATAATTATAAGAAAACATAAATACTAAATTAAAGATTATATTTTAAATAAGAAAATTATATTACTCAATTAATATTTTAGTTTTAAGTTATTTTAATTAAACTAAATTATTAAAACAGACTCGCGTGTAGCGCGAGTATAAAATCTAGTTGGTAAGATAGTCCGAGTCTTTTGGTTTAATGCATACTAGATTTTGACCCGCGCTTTAAAAGCGCGGGATTAACTTTTTGAAAGTTATTTAGTGAAAATTCAAAATTTATACTATGTTTTATTCTTTTTTTTTGTTTTAAAGTATATATAATTAAATTAATGTTTATAAGAATAACATTTTAGGAATATAAGACAATTCATTTAAATAACTTGTATGTGTTTTTACTTATATTCTGAAAGTTTTCAAAGTATATTATAAATTTATTTTTATATTTTCCAAAATTATTTTATATAATATAAATTAACTATATATCATTCAAACAGTCATACATGATAAATATCTACATGCTTATGAAATCTAAAAAACTGCAATTGTAAAATATAACCTATAATTTGATATATTATATAATTAAATAATATTAATATCAAATGAATTTAGTGTTGTATTAAATCAAAGTGAAACCTATTAAAATATGAGTTATTCTTAGGTTCATCCCCTAGGGTGAACCTCTAGGTTCACCAACCAATAAGATGGTGTTGTTTCATATTTGATATCTTTTTTAGAAGGAAATAAAATCTTATTAAGTTATATTCTGTTTTTAAAATAAAAATAGAAAAAAAAATAATATTAAAAAAAAAGAAAAAAAACTAAAAAAAATATTTGATAATAAAACACTAATCCTAAACCCTAATACTAAACCCTAAACCCTAAACCCTAATCCTAGACCCTAAACCCTTGGGTAAATCATAAAAATTTTGGAAAAATCTTAACCCTTGGGTAAATTAATACTAACCAATTATACTATTTTTATTTATTTTTATCTTTTTATTTTAAACACATTTTTCTATTTTAACGATATATTAAAAGATTTTTTTTTAAATTGATTTTTTAAAATTATTATTGTTTTTATTTTATTTTTATATTTTATTTTAAAACATAATATAATGTTAAAATATATTTTTAAAGAATTTTTTTGGTTTTTTGTATATATTATTATTCTTATTTATTTTGTTCTAGTTTTATGTTAAAGACACAATATAATTTGACAAGATTTTGTTTCCTTTTTAAAAGATATCAAATATGAAATAACACCATCCTATTGGTTGGTGAACCTAGAGGTTCACCCTAAGGGGTGAACCTAAGAATAAGTCTTAAAATATTAGCCAAATCGATTTATAAATTTTTATATGTATGTCACAAATCTTGGTGTACACAACCTTCCCTGAAAAGACCCCTATTATTAAGTTTATGCTTTTTGTTTGTTCACCTGTCTAAAATCTCTATTACGTCTATTTCTCAAAATTTGTTGATAGATCTTATTAACAGTAAATATTACACTATCCATATTAAGGAATATTTAATGCAAAAATATATCTGTAATAAATAAGAAGTTCATATATTCTTATTTATAGTGCTAAATTAATTGTTACACGGACTATGTACTATTAAAAGTTTTAGATTTTTTTAGGTTGAAATATTATTAAGTGAAAAAATATACATATAAGTTTTATTAAAACATAGTTACATCTTTTTAATTTATGCTGAGAATATTTTGGAATAAACCCATGTATTATTTGGCCAATAATATCCGTTGAGCATTATTTGAAATAAATGTTTGGTAGAGTTAATGTATAATTTAATGTTGAAAATTATTAAATACATCATGTCGGTTAAGATTTTGAACTTGTAGAATTTGGAAAATTTTAATGCAAATAAATAATGCAAGCTTAACGAATTTATAGTAATTTAGATGAAAATAATAAATGTTGTTATGCATAAAAACAGGAATGGCATTGAAATGTAAATATGATGAAAAACTAATGGCAGAATCCTAATAGGGATTCTGCTTTAATAGTATAGATTGGTTGATTACTTTGACGATTTAAGCCTCCTCATTATTGACTTCTTATATATGCATCTTCCTTGTTGGAGTTTACCTAGATTAAGCATTTCCTCATAGTACTAGATGGTTTAGTTAAGTCAATCCACCTTAGGCATATACAAGCTTTGTCTTAGTGGTCATATATTGTGCTTTCATTCAGTTTATTTTGAACTTGAGATTGTTACCACTCTTATTAATACCCAACACTGAAATATGACTTTTATTAGATACAAAGAATACTAAAAAAGTATCTCAGATCTGAACCAAGAATATCATAACCTCCCTTATTTTGATGAGTTTGTGAGGTGAAATAATCTTAGAAAGAAACTCTCTTTATATAAATTTAGCTCTGTGAGAGCTCGCGGCTTCGATTAGCTGCAGCAACAACAGCATTCATAAGTGTCGCACGGAAAGAACCTTTCTCCAGTTGGTGAACTCCAGCTATTGTAGTCCCGCCTGGTGAAGTAACATCATCTTTCAACACACCCGGATGCTTCCCCGTTTTGCTCACCATTGTTGCAGCTCCAAGAACCTGCCATAG